ATACCTCCCCCCCCCCCCCTCTCTCTCTCTCTCTCTCTCTCTCTCTCTCTCTCTCTCTCTCTCTCTCTCTCCCTTCCTGCAGACGCACTTCTCCTCCTAAACGTGTCAAAGGGCATCACTTATTGCCGTCTGAAGGAGCGGAGTCCTTTGTGAGAGAAAATTGGAAATGATACAGAAGAAAACACACGGCGCGATTCTGCTTGCGAATCTACAAAGGGCCATTTTTCGCACATCCGCTAAATCAAGTGAAGATGCCGTTTTGCAGCGAGAGTCTGTTCTTTTCCTTGTGTTATTTGTTTCGTTTTTTTTTTTTTTTTTTTTTTTTTGTGGAAGAGGGATTTTTTTTCGTTTTCGTTATGGCGTTCCTTCCGTTTGTTTGTCATTTACAGTGTCTTCTTTATTTCGTTTTAATTTCTTATTTCTCTTTTCCTTCTACTTTTTTTTTCGTATCTCTTCATCTTTCCTCCCTTCCTCCCCTCCTTCCTTCCCTCTTTCATTTTCCCTCCTATTTGTTTCCCCTTACCTTTTTTCCACCCTTCCCCCTTTTTTTCTCTCCACTTTCTCTCATTCCTTCCCTCCCTCCCCCCCCCGTCCGTTCCTCCCTCCTTCCCTCTACTTCCCTATCCCTCCTACCCTACCTCCTCCCTCCATTCCTCCTCCTCCCTCTCCTTCTTCCCTTCTTCCTTCCACTTCCTCTCCCCTTTAAAATGACACTCTCGAGAGACACGGCTGATCTGTGCCATCTTTGCCTCACGTGTCAGGCACCCTCTCTTGGCACCTTACTGTACACGCTGCTTTTCTCCAAGTTTTTTTTCTCTTTCTCTCTCTCTTCTTTTGGTGTTAGCATTGTCATTTTGAACTATTTACTTGGAGGGAGAAAAACGTCTTGATGAAATGATGAAATATGTTATAATGATAATAAAACGATAATAATGGTGAGCGTTGATGATAGATAAGAAAACGGTAATAATAGTGATGCATTTATGGTGACTATCAACTAAGACAAAATGAATTAGTGTTAAACATGTGTAAGGGGAAACGAATATAAAAAAGGAGAGTTAAAGTAAAATACAAGAAAAAAGGGAAAGTGAGAGAAAGAGGAGGCGGTGAAGGAAAAAGACGAATAAGGAAAATGAAATAAGGATAAGGAAATGGAGGAATAAGAAAGAAGAAACATTAGAAAGAGATTGCTCCATCGAAGAATACGAAAGAGAAACGACAGAAGAAAGAGAAGAGAGAAAGAAAACAAAACAAGGGAAGCCTAGAAAAATAGAAGCAGAATTAGCAAGAAGATTGGGAGCAGAAGTGGAAGCAGAAATATCAAGTAGCTCAGCAGCAGAAGCAGAAACAAGAGGATCAGGAGCAGAAGCAGGAACAGGAAGTTCAGGAGCAGGAGCAGAAGTGGCAGATGGATCAGCAGCAGAAGCAGAAGCAGGAGCAGGAGCAGAAGTAAGCAAGTAGCTCAGCAGCAGAAGCAGAAATAGCAAGTAGATCAGCAGTAGAAGCAGAAACAAAAGGATCAGGAGCAGAAGCAGAAAATTCAGGAGCAGGAGCAGAAGTAAGCAGGTAGCTCAGCAGCAGAAGCAGAAGCAGAAGCAGGAGCAGGAGCAGGAGCAGAAGTAAGCAGGTAGCTCAGCAGCAGAAGCAGGAGCAGGAGCAGCAAGCGGGGTTGAAAAAAGCCTCGGGAGAAGCAACAGAAATTCGCCGGCTCGGCTGCGAGAGGTCATAACACGTCCCCGGGGAGAGCAGACGCCGGCGTTAAGAACCACGTAACCCGGAGTGTAAGCGAGGTGTTCAGGTGAGGGGGGGGGGGGGCAGAGGGGATATGGGCCAGGGGGGAAGGGGGGGGTAATGGAGAGGTGGGAGGTGAAGGTGGAGGAGGGGGGGGGGATGCGTGTGGGTCAGGGGAGGAGAGGAGAGGAGAGGAGAAGGCGAGGCGAGAGGGGTTAGTGAGGGTAAGGGGTTTAAATGGGGGCGGGGGATTGCGTGTGGGAGGAGGGGGGAGGGGAGGATAGGATAGGAAGAAAGGGGGGGAGGGGAGAGGGATGGATGGGGGGGGGAGATGGGGGAAGCTCCCTAGGCGACCGTCCTAAGACCCTAAGATGTAAAATGCATCGCCCGCCCGCCCATGGGACCAATCCCGGGTCCTAATCACACTTTCACGCCCTCTCCTCCGGGCGTGAGTCAATTGCGGGGGATTCGTGGGCAGGGAAAGGGGGGGTGGGGGGAGGGGGAGAAGGTGGAGGGGGTGAAGAAGGGTTTGGGGGTCAGCGGAGATAAGGAAGGAGGGAGGGAGAAAAAAGAAGAGAGAAGAAAAGAGAGATGTAGAAAAGAATAGATAGAGGCGTAAACCGAAAGCCTGAGAGAGACCAAAGAAAAGAAAAAGAAAGAAAGAAAGAAAGAAAATTGAAAAAACGACAACAACAACAAAAAAAGATAAAACGAACGGTAAAGAAACATCAAAATCTCACCCATATGAATTTACATAAAAAGATTTCCCGGTAAATGAAATATCCATCCGAAACATATCAATACCAAGAAAAAGAAAAAAGAAAAAAGAAAGAAAGAAAGAAAGAAGAAGAAGAACA